ATTACATCTGTTTTGCAAAAACAATTAAGGTCACATATTTCAGCTGTCAGTGATATGCTGTAAAGACTGGTTTAAAGTACAGAGTGCACGATTGAGAAGACAGTTTGGAATAAATGTAAAACAATGACATTAATTCATGTTGATTGTTTGTACTCTTATGTGCAGCCTGAAAAGCCCCTAGTATTTTTTGCAGTTTATAATGTTTGAAATGGTTGTATGTATTCTTTAGTTTCAGGGAATTAACCCATCAGCTTTGTCATAACCTCTTTCATTTTGCATACATTTTACTATCCTTTTAAGTACTATGCGTGATTCTATTTCAACATATTTGTAGCTATTACCCTGGGCTTGTTTAAAAATGAACTCTTGACAGATATAAAAACATCATTTAATCCAGTTATGCATTCATTAAAAAAAACATTAAACATATTTTTATACAGAACAACCATAAGTACCTAAATCTGTCTTGATAACCAGCCAGCTGCAATACCATGTATAATAGGCCAATCAAGCACTACTTAACAATGCTATTATTCCCTCTTCCTGAATATGTTACAGGGACCAGGAGGACAGAGATTGAGGAGGGGGGCAGGGGGAAAAGTTCAACAGTGTTCTGCTGTGCCTTTATTGCCAATCAACGTTGCGTTTTTGACCACATTCTATTGCTTAAGTGCAAAGAAAAATGGCCACCAACCTGGATGTGTTCACCAATGGGTGTTGGGGATAAGTAAACCTGCCTGGGTTCAATTCACAAAAGTTCAGAACAAAAAATTTTTCCTACACAGAGGTGTCCGTTTATGAACCAGTAGTAATAGATCGCTGCTCAATTCTCCGGCATTCTCGGAGAACACAGTTCTCCTGTGAATGCAGTTTATGAAGCAATCTCCGAACGAAGGGAGAAGGGTCTCCAAACGCTGGAGAACGGTCTACAAACTCTGAAAAACGGCTCAATTTACTATAATCTCGCGAGATTACAGTAAAAGATCAGTTTACTAAGCAGAGGTAAATTATCTCTGCTTAGTTTTCGGTCCCTCTGATTCTCCAGCTCTGGGCTGGAGAATGTGGAGGGAGAACACAGATCTCCAGAGAAGGGCTGACATGATCTCCTGAGTGTCATAAACTGTAAATGACCAGAGAATAGCTGAGATCTGTTGAATCGCAGCTATTCTCTGTGTCATAAACGGACACCAGAATTGTTTGTTATCCTTAACAACTCCAACACACACTGACAATATGTCTGCTGTGGGCTCATCCTTTTACAGAAAGGGGCTGGGTGATCCATTTCATAGAATTATTGTGACCCAGATGACCAAGGCAAAAGCTATGCATTGCATTCTTTATTTCTGGTAGCATGCCCGCCTACTTTTAAGCCTAAAGCCTTCACTCTAAGTCCTTCAGATCATGGGAAATCCAAAATACTTGAGCTATCTCAGGAACAGGAGGTGAGATAAATTCTTGGGTAAACCTGATTTCATGACAAATGTACAAGAGTGGATAATCTTTTGGTTTGGAGCGGTCTGCTTTTACTTCCTAATGTGTTTTTGGGACAGAAAGAAGTGGAAGAAGACAGAAAACAATGGCATGGCACTTACAACCTTCTGATTCAAATCGAAATTAAAAAAAAAATATTGACTTTACACACACTTCAAATGTATCTCTAGCTAAAACTTTTAACCACAATAGAATGCGAGGAGATATCTTCTGATGTAACACCTGTTCTGGTGATAACTGGGTCTGGGAGGATTTCCCTTCAATTGGAGAGATTTCCTCTAACTTCCTGTGTCTACAAGTGAAGAGAAATCGCCACAGAAGGGCACTGAAAGCAAAAAAAAAAAAGATGAGTTTTAATCTTTCCCTACTCTAAAGTAAGTAAAAATCTTTTTTTCAAAAGATACAAGTTATAATTGGTCAGCAGTCACTTCATGGGGTCTTTGTATATGTGTTCAACCTTTTTATATCAAAACAATTTGCATATAGAGATATTTTAAAATTGTAAAACACTAGCATTTTATTTTAACAAGATAAAAAATGAATAATTAAAGCAGAAAAATTTACTTCTAGAATATAGAAAGTAACAAATTACACCATCCTTAATTTGTCATGAAGATAAAGCTTCAAATTTAACATTTAATACAATCAGTGTTAGAAATGTTGAAGTTAATTTTCAAGAAATATATCAATATTACCTTGTATTTATAATTCATATACACTATGATCTGATATGTATGAAATTTAATTTTTAAAGAGCATTTCCTTTTAACTTCCTCTGCATGTCTGCCCTTCAAATACATTTTTTTAGTAATTGTAATTCTTAACAATTTGTCAGTTGTAAGGGGAAACGTTTTATGGATTCTATTGTCAGACTCTTGACATAGTTTTATTGAGCCATGTATGATTTAAGGAACCCTAGCATGTCAAACTTTAAATAAATATAGATGAATATAATTCTAAATAGTGCTATTAGCATAAAATGTATGTATTATATGGTTTGTACTATAGTATTACTCTATAGAGTAATACATCATATAATATTCACACAGAGTGTGTCTGCATTATTACATGACCTAAAAGCCATCTGACTATAGAGAATGTGTTTGGGCAGGCTCTTGATAGTCAAGATTATGATGGGAGTCACTTTGGGTGGGGGCCCTTGGAACCCAGATCACTTTGGAGAGGTGGGGAGACCTCTGTCTCAGCTCCCCATATCCCTCTTATGTGTAAATCACCCTGTGCCTGTTAGGGGTACAGGGTGATCTGTCCTAATATTATGTGTGGGCTTTGTCTCAGACTGTGTAGACATGTTTAGGAGATAGGTGGGGTGGAGGTTGTTGATTGTTTAATGTTATGTGGCTGCATCCCATTGTTCTATTATTTGTCTGGCTTGGGAGCAAATTATTATGGGATCTGTATGTTTATGTGTATTAGCTTAGTGGGGGGGGGGGGGTGTCTTTAGCAGCCCTCCCTCCTGATGGGACTGCCTGCTGGTGTGAAGCTTGAATACCTGTGTGTCTCTTGTTACTAAATGTAGATTGCCCCGCCCTGTGTCATTATGCAGGGAGGTGGGGTTATCCCCTGAGTGTATATATATTGTATCTGTGTTCAAATAAAGTAGTGTACCTCTGGTTTACTTCAAATCTGGTAACGTCTGGATCTTGGGGTAACAATAGCTAGATTCACTGGTCTCACGTTCCAGAGCCTGAGAAGCAGCTTCTTGACAGAGATACCCAGTCGTGGATGTCTGGGGTCCATTACAAAGATGGTGTGCTTGTGAAGTGAGCAATAAGAAGACCAGCAACAAATGCTTCAGCAACTTTATACACACAACAACAGCATGTTTTTCTCTCTGCAGCAGCAGTTGCAGCACACAAAGCTCTCTTGCCTGGGCACCCTGCTCTCCTACTGTCAGGGCTCCCGGGTGTGACCAGAGGTGTGTGACTGACGCAGGGAAACGCAGGCTTCAGATATGTTATAAACAATGTAATTTATTAACACTAACAATACAAACATAAACGCAGTGCAATACTAAAACATAACACAGTGCAAACAAACCAAACCAACCACCCACAGATAACAGTACATACAATGCAAGCGTCGTTAGGCAGGCCGGGTCAATATCAATCGGGCAGGTAGGTACAGGGGGAGCAAGCAGAGAATGGTCGGAGTCACAAGCCAGGTTCAGCAGGTAGCGGGCAGCGTGGTACAGAGGGTCAGGCAGAGGAGAATGGTCAGACAAGCCAGGGATCAGAGCAGGGTCAGCAGAGAATCAGACAGGAACAGGGAACAGGGAACAGGGAGCAGGAACAGGGAACAGGGAGCAGGAACAGGATACAGGGCCCAGGAGAAACACAACACCAAGGCAGAGTCTGCAGGTCTGAATGTCCCTTAAATACACCAGTATAATTAGTTCCAGGTGTTTGACTGGCTGCAAGGTTGAGTCTCTGATTGCTGGGAGCACCCGCTGGCCAGCCCTGGTACTGCAGCTCATAAGGCAGCTGAGTCCCACTATTGCTGGCCAGTCCATTCCTGACAGTACCCCCCCCCTCAAGGAGCGGTCTCAGGACGCTCCAAACAGTCCTAGCTGGGCAAAATGTTCCACCGCCCGGGTCTGGTAACTGGCGGGATATCAAAGACTGGCACACCGGGCAGGACTCCGGACAGCGGCACACCGGGCAGAGGTACATCGGGCAGGACTCCGGGCAGAGGCACATCGGGCTGGACTCCGGGCAGAGGCACATCGGGCAGGACTCCGGGCAGAGGCACATCGGGCAGGACTCCGGGCAGAGGCACATCGGGCTGGATTCCGGGCACATCGGGCAGGCACATCGGGCAGAGGGCACACCGGGCAGAGGCACATCGGGCAGGACTCCGGGCAGAGGCACATCGGGCTGGACTCCGGGCAGAGGCACATCGGGCTGGACTCCGGGCAGAGGCACATCGGGCCGGACTCCGGGCAGAGGCACATCGGGCCAGACTCCGGGCAGAGGCACATCGGGCCGGACTCCGGGCAGAGGCACATCGGGCCGGACTCAGGGCAGCAGCAGGCACATTGGCCATTACCAGGCGAAGCAGCAGGCAGCGGGCCCCCAGGCGGAGCAGCAGGCACCGGGCCCCCAGGCGGAGCAGCAGGGCACCGGGCCCCCAGGAGGGGCGACAGGCATCGGGCCCCCAGGCGGGCGGGGGCGACAGGCATCGGGCCCCCCGGCGGGGCGACAGGCATCGGGCCCCCAGGCGGAGCGGCGGGCGCCGGGCCCCCAGGAGGGGCGACAGGCATCGGGCCCCCAGGCGGGGCGACAGGCATGGGCCCCCAGGCGGGGCAACAGGCATCAGGGGGCCCCAGGCGGGGCGGCGGGCCCCGGACCCCCAGGCGGAGCGGCGGGCGCCGGACCCCCAGGCGGAGCGACAGGTCTCGGGCCCCCAGGCGAAGCGGCAGGCACCGAGTCACCAGGCACGACAGTGGGCTCCGAGTCAACTGGCATGACCGCTGGCACTGGGTCAGACATTGGATCGTCTGGCTGGACAGCGGGCATCGGGTCACCAGGCATCAGGTCATTTGGCTCAACAGCAGCGGCACCGCGTCATCTGGCAAGGCAGTGGGCTCCGAGTCAACTGGTATGACCGCGGGCACTGGGGCAGACATTGAATCGTCTGGCTGGACAGCGGGCATCGGGTCACCAGGCATCAGGTCATTTGGCTCGACAGTGGGCACCGCGTCATCTGGCAAGGCAGTGGGCTCCGAGTCAACAGGCACGACAGTGGGCTCTGAGTCAATTGGCACGACAGCGGGCACCGGGTCATCAGGTAGGATTGTCTGGCTCGACAGCGGGCATCGGGTCACCAGGTATGACAGCGGGCACTGCGTCACCAGGCATCAGGTCATTTGGCTTGCCAGCGGGCACCGCGTCATCTGGCAAGGCAGTGGGCACCGGGTCACCAGGCATTGGATCGTCTGGCTTGACAGCGGGCATCGGGTCACCAGGTATGACAGCGGGCACTGGGTCACCAGGCATCAGGTCATTTGGCTCGCCAGCGGGCACCGCATCATCTGGCAAGGCAGTGGGCATCGAGTCACCAGGTACGACAGCGGGCTCTGAGTCAATTGGCACGACAGCGGGCACCGGGTCATCAGGTACCGGATTGTCTGGCTCGACCGCGGGTATCGGGTCACCAGGTATGACAGCGGGCACCGGGTCATCAGGTACCGGATTGTCTGGCTCGACAGCGGGCATCAGGTCATTTGGCTTGCCAGCGGGCACCGCGTCATCTGGCAAGGCAGTGGGCACCGGGTCACCAGGCATTGGATCGTCTGGCTCGACAGCGGGCATCGGGTCACCAGGTATGACAGCGGGCACTGGGTCACCAGGCATCAGGTCATTTGGCTCGCCAGCGGGCACCGCGTCATCTGGCAAGGCAGTGGGCACCGAGTCACCAGGTATGACAGCGGGCTCTGAGTCGATTGGCACGACAGCGGGCACTGGATCAGGTACCCGATCGTCTGGATCAACAGCGGGTATCGAGTCAACTGGCCTAATAGGATCATCAGGCTGGATCAGTTCATCAGGCTGAGTGGAGGCACCAGGCTGAGTAGAGGCACCAGGCTGAGTAGAGGCACCAGTAGAGGCACCAGGCTGAGTAGAGGCATCCGGCTGAGTAGAGGCATCCGGCTGAGTAGAGGCATCCCAGGCTGAGTAGAGGCATCCGGCTGAGTAGAGGCACCAGGCTGGCTGAGTAGAGGCACCAGGCTGAGTAGAGGCACCAGGCTGAGTAGAGGCATCAGGCTGAGTAGAGGCATCAGGCTGAGTGGAGGCACCAGGCTGGGTACAAGGCACCAGGCTGAATAGAGGCACCAGGCTGAACCACGGAAGGCAGGTTCTCAGACGGCAGGCTCACCGGTTTGGATACTGGCAGGATGGTATTGGTTGGAAAGAATTTTCGCTTTTTTCTGGTTTTAACTACTGGAGCACTGCAAGTAAACGCAGGTCTGCAAATGAATGGAGCAGCTGGAGACAGAGAAGAGCTGGAGGATGGAACAGGCGAAGGAACAGTCGCTACAGAGGGCTTCTTTACAGGGTTAAAGGCAGGATAGGTGCAGCGAGTGGGAACAGGGGACTGACATGCGGTAGATAGCCAAGTATACAGGGCTGTAACTGGAGGAGCTGTTGGGTATACAGGAGTAGAGCTTTGAGGAGATAGATTAGAAGCAGGACTGGGTCTTTGTAAGCTGACTGAGGCTGGGTGTAACAAATCTGTCCATGTCTGCAGTATGGGTTGAACAAAGCTGAGCTTACACAAAGCCTGTCTGACCAAAGACTGCACTGCGTTTATACAATCTCTTAGTATCTGTGGTGAACATGCAGCATAACGCTCCAAGAAGCAATCCACATCATCCTCTAATAACCATACCAGGGACTCTACCTGGTCTGCACTAAATGGTGGCAAAAATTCATCCCTGCATTCAGGGGTACCAGATGAAACCAACTCCGCACAAATCTGAATCAATGGCTGCACCTCGGAGAATTCTGTGCCCTGATCTACTAGAACATGAGCGAGCCGTATACATTCTAGCAGTTCATCCCGGGGATACTCCTGCAGAGTCTGATAAGCATACTCCCTGTCATCAAACACTAGCAGATATAAATACACAACCTCATCAAGATCCATCCTTCCCATCAACAAACCAAGATGGCTTCCCTGTGCAGCCACTTCTGGTCAGGATTGGCCTTGGTGTAATGTCAGGGCTCCCGGGTGTGACCAGAGGTGTGTGACTGACGCAGGGAAACGCAGGCTTCAGATATGTTATAAACAATGTAATTTATTAACACTAAAATACAAACATAAACGCAGTGCAATACTAAAACATAACACAGTGCAAACAAACCAAACCAACCACCCACAGATAACAGTACATACAATGCAAGCGTCGTTAGGCAGGCCGGGTCAATATCAATCGGGCAGGTAGATACAGGGGGAGCAAGCAGAGAATGGTCGGAGTCACAAGCCAGGTTCAGCAGGTAGCGGGCAGCGTGGTACAGAGGGTCAGGCAGAGGAGAATGGTCAGACAAACCAGGGATCAGAGCAGGGTAGCAGAGAATCAGACAGGAACAGGGAACAGGGAGCAGGAACAGGGAACAGGGAGCAGGAACAGGATACAGGGCCCAGGAGAAACACAACACCAAGGCAGAGTCTGCAGGTCTGAATGTCCCTTAAATACACCAGTATAATTAGTTCCAGGTGTTTGACTGGCTGCAAGGTTGAGTCTCTGATTGCTGGGAGCACCCGCTGGCCAGCCCTGGTACTGCAGCTCATAAGGCAGCTGAGTCCCACTATTGCTGGCCAGTCCATTCCTGAACCCTACTGTAGGTCCTGAAAAGTCACACCACCCCTAGGGCTCTCTCAACATTGCCATTCACTGTGAAGTAGGTGGAGCTTAGCTTTCCAGCCATGTGGCCAATCACAAGTCCCCCTGGCTCCTTGACCAGTCAGGTTTCATTTTGCCCAGGATGCTACAAGTGGGTCCAATTCCCTGGTTGAAGTGGCAGCCAAAGAGAGTTCTTCTTCCTTCCCGCACAGTTCATCACTAACAGGAGAAGGGAGTAAAAAGCTGTGACCAGAGAAGGAACCCTTTGCTAGGCAGGTTAAAAAGGACATCTGGGTATTGGGTGCCGCAGCATAATAGTGTACCTTAGGTTTTAGTGCTTCCCAGGAGTCAATGTTATTTAAATATTTGTACTCCTATCTCTGGGCTCCCTTTGTTTCTTCTTCGGTGACAATTCAAAAGGCCTACAGCTAAAATCCAAGCTAATCAGATGGTGTCTTAATACAAGAACCATATAAAGTCTTATATGGCTCATTATATCCTTTATTACGTCCAGATCTGTTCCGTAATCCATCATAGAGCTGTATTTTGACCATTCACTGCTGGATTCAAGCTTTACTAATGCAGCTTGACAATTATGAAAATAGAGACAGGAGATCAAATATTGGGATCAAAGGCCTACCTGAGGTCACTAAATCACAAGAGCCACCTTTGCTGGCACATTTAACCAGATTCTAGGTAGGAAACTCACCATATATAATGAGATAGATAGGGCCCATACAGCAGTATTCAGCCTTTTGAAGACACTGCTTCAATTGCAGTGAATAGAGTACCTCCTCCAGTGAAGACAGATGGGTAAACCTGGTGTAGGGTATGTTACCCCTCACTATAGCTTAAATAGTTAGCAGCTTATGTTGTCTCTACATGAGATAGATGTACTTGTAACGTTCTATTAGTATCCCATCAACAACTGGTGACCAGATTGAGACAATGCTATAATGTGCACAATATTTGTTTATTCTTAGACTGTTGTGACCATTCCATGGCTCAGAGAAGATTTGTCTATACTACTGTCAGCCCTCCTTATCTCCTCTTTTTTTGCTACTGACTTCCTTGGTTTGGACGGGTATATAATATTTTTATAGACCTCCACCAACCAGGTAGGTTTAGACCTGCTCAGGGATCATGCAGTCTTTGGACTATGGGATTATTTTTGTTAGCATATTTTCTTGCCTCCTCCTCATTTCAGTGTGATCAACTTATCTGCCCCCACATCCATCATTTTAGAGCCAGTATTGCTGCCCCCTGCTGCACAGACCTGTAGAGTGCATGATATTGGTGCAGCTGTACATTGGTGCACTTTTGCACAGTAGTATTTCCTGTGCAACTTTTTCCTCCTAAAGATGCAGGTTTCGATCGAAACCCATCAAGGTCAATAATCTCCCTTTCCCCCCAGTTTGGGGTTCCCACGCCATACTATTTCAGCTAGTATAATTGTTACTCTAGTTAATACATACATAATTTTGTTTATACAGTATATAGGCTTTCTCTTGGGGAGGCATATGTATAGCAGGAGTCTCTCTTTATACCTGCAACATGCAGAAAATGCAGAAGAACATGCAGAAGATTATTTTAATTGTGTCTTATGTTTATCTTTGTAATACTTGATACAATTTTTTATAAGTTTGTAATAAACTTGTATCTTTTTTTTCTATCTTTGTCTGGACACTTCAGAAATCATTTTCTACTTTGTATTTCAATTCTAACCTAGGATGTGGTCAGGGGCGGACTGACAACTCATGGGGCCCCCGGGCAATAGGGGATCATGGGGCCCCTGTGTCCCTGCCTACACTCAAAAAAGCCTATGAAAAAGGTACCAGGGGCATCTCATGGGGCCCCCTACTGACCCCGGGCCCTCGGGCACTGCCCGAGTTTCCAAATGGTCAGTCCGCCCCTGGATGTGCTGCTCCTTTGTTTGCCCACACATAAATTACTTAAGAGGAATGCCAGGAAATTAAATTCAGTAGCATGTGTCTGCACCAGTGCAGCAAGAAGTACCATCCCTTAGAGTGGTATCTTTAAACAAGAACCGGTATTGATACTGGTGACCTTTTCCCCATAAGTGACTTATCATAGTTTGTTCAATACCATGTCTCTTTGTGGAGCTACTCATCTTGGGAAAGAAAGACTATGCTTCTTCTTGTCCTCAGCAAGAAAAATAGTAAGCACTCACTGCAGATCTCCAGAAACTAGCAGTCAGGGGCAGCAGTGCTTTAGATCTCACACTGCAAATATACAGCTTTGTGGCCTTTTTAGGCCACGGCTTAGGCACAATTAACATTTCTAGATGTTCCCTATAACATGAAATCTTAACTTTTTGAGTTTAGGTTCCCTTTGTGGTTGTACAACATCAAAACTCATGAATTACCGGTACTCTTTTCAAATATGCAGTATTTGCTTTATATGTTCAGCCAAGAAAGAACAGTGATCACATACAATGTTTATTACTGCATTTTAACACAACATGTTGCAACTTATCAAATGGTGAGTCCAAATCAAAATTTAAAAAAAAAATGTAATTTTAGACTTTTATTTTCATTCTTTATTTTACAGTAACTGGGACTAGTAGACATTGTGGGGGATTGAGGTTGCATATATGTGTTTTTGGATAAATATATTGCATAAAGCATCAGTGCTGCAACTAAATAATTCTTTGAGGGGAAAGCTGGTGATATAGTTCTTCTATATATACTTCTGTGATTATTTTTTGCACTGCACCATCGTTATGCAGGAAAAAAAAAGTATACATGTAAAGTGAATCAATCAGGATTTATTTTTCACTGTTCTAAACTGAACTCTGGTTGCTATGAGTTACCATGCATTGTTATTCCAAATATATAGCTAGAAAAAT